TCCAAATCATCAAAAAATCTTGACTATGCCATCGCTCTTACAAAATTGCCTCTTTTTCATGCTGGACAAGTTCTAAAAATCAGAATTTCACGATAAAAAATACCTTTTCCAGTGAAACTGGTGAAATACTTGGTGGACCAACACTAATGCGACCTGTATGCGGTAAAGATGGGATTCTCATTGGTGTATCTGCAAAGATAACCGCACATGAAAAAGTTTGTTATAGCTTTTATTTCCAGTACCAAAGTTTTTGTATTTTCAGCAAGATCATTTACCAAAGCTCTTTATTTCCAGCAAGCTTATTTATCAAAGCGTTTTTGCAGGCCTGAAATTATGCCTCTTCCCCGTGCGAGAAATTGGTGCGCATGAAAGATGCTAATACGTTTCTCGTAACTCGCAAAATCAGGTAGTATTCTCATAAAATTTCAGCTTTCTTGGCTAATAAAAGGTGAAGAGTGGGAAGACGGCAAAAACATTGCAGTTTGAACATTTGATATGTCTGTACGTGAGGCATAAGCAAAAGCCCATTTTACGCTTGCTGACTCCCATGTGAATAGCAACTTTTCTCAGAAAAATACTGCTTTCTGCTCACTCTAACTACCGAGCTAATTAGGTGTCAACAGTGCCTTAAACCAGTGGTTCTCAACATAAGGTCCGTGGCAACCCAGGGGCCGTGAAGGCAACAACCAAGGGATGAAGTGAGAAGAGTCTCATTACATTTTCATCAAATTTCAATATAAATTTCAACAAAATAAAAATTTCGATGTAAATTTCGATGCAAAAATTTTTTTTCAATCTAATAAATTTCAGTGTAATAAAAACGGTAACATATTCGCAATTAGCACTTTAAAGTATTAGGAAATCACCATTTGAGCGGGAAAAGCGTTAATGAAATTATTTTATATTCAAGCAGAATCCTTGCAATAAAGGTATTACAACAGGTGTGCATGTATATTAACAGACTAACTCATTTCCCCGTCTCGACAAATTTGAAGACCCTCAATAAGAAAAATAAAATGAACATTTGATGTAATCTAGTATTTTAAGTCTTCAATTAAGTCTTGCTGGGCAATGACGACAATAGGTACCTAAAAAAGGGACTGCGGTGGCAAAAGCCACTTAAAAGAGAGTCGCGATAAAAAAAGATTTGAACCACTGTCTTAAACCAAATATTTACTTGTGCACACGCAAGACCCAGTATGCTTTGAAGCTGAGAATAAACTGAAGCAGCACATCCTCATAAAATTCCAGTTTCCTAACTTGATTGACTGGCGAAATCGCTTTTCGCTGCAGACATCTTTGACACGTCCGAACGCGCGCTGCAGACATATCTCAAAACTCATTTTAAGTCTGTGTAGTCACCTGCAGAAAGAAGATATTCTCATAAGATTGGAATGTCCTAAATAACATAGCTCCCGAGTTAGCATTTTGCCAACGATTTCTCAGTTCCAATTTTGACATGTTTGTACACATGATTTAGACATGCGTTAAGGGTGAATTTAAAATCTTTAACTTATACAAGAAAATGAAACATCTCTGCGAAATTTCAGCTTTCTATCTTACCTGATTCCTAAAATCACTTTTGCCAAAAATTTGCGTGTTTTCTTCTTTGTGCCTGTGCGTGGCACCAAAGAGTACGTAAAAGATATTTCTAAAATGAAAACTCGCGCATGCAATGGGAACTTGCTCCAAAAGTTTTAGCTTCCTGGCTTCTTTGGCTGTTGGATTAAAAACCACGACCACACGGACAACGACTTGCCAATAAGCGCTTTTGCATTTGCACAAATGTGTAAAAACACCTAAAAATAAGCAAATTAGGTACCACTGCTGGTAGCGATAGCTGTCGAAATTTGTAGAACAAAATAAGCAATAAATTCTTTGCTCATATCTGCAGTCTTGTGCGTGGTAGTAGGAATAGTATAATCCAAGTGCCAAACAGACGGATGATTTATGCGATTTTGATGTTTCGTTGGATCATTTATTGTTAAATATCTGAAATAATTAGAGCGAGAAAGAAATGAGGGAAAACAAGTTGCTGCAAAGTGGGGTTCAAGTAGACTCGGAGGGAACGAAATCTTGAAAATTATAGCTGTATCCCTCATCCGGATTTTTCAGTCGTTTCTGTTGCAAGGTTTTTTCTTGGCCTGGAAATTGAGAATCTCATTCAATTCGGGTCAGCGTTCATTGGGAGAGAAGGAGCAGAGACGTGATATGGATAATATCTTGGAAAATTCTTATTTCCCAGTTTTTTCAGTGCAAATTTATCGATGTAAATTTTTATTTATCGCAGGGAAAAATTGATATTTTGAAAGAGGCGAATTTCCGAACTCCGCATTTTTGCATGTGCGCATAACAAGGACCATCCTATAATTTCCGGATTTCGGTTTCTGTTTTTTAAACGAACAAACATGTGCAGGCAAACAGCCACAAGTACTTATTATGTGTTTTGTGCTGTGCAAAAGCTGCACAAAACGCATATTTCACGGGGTTGTCTGTGTGTATACTTGTCCGAGTGCATTTCGTCCACAAATTTCTACTTGGGAACCACAAAAGCCGGTGAGCTAAAATTTCAGAAGAATTTTCCAAGCTCACGTGTGACCATAGAAATTTAATTTCAGCCCTCTTCTACATCGGGGACCACGTATGACCCTGTAAAAGTTTTGGCAACGAAAATTATTATTTCGGGAACTATAAAGGCCAAGAAACTGAACTTTTACGGTAATGACCTCTGCACACGTACGACCTCGCATATTTATAATCAGCCTTTACACACCCCTGCGTAACACGTACGCCTCAGCGCACTGGCGGACCCAGGAGAGGGGGCGGGGGTGCCAAAGGTCTTTTGCCCCTAACCCTAGCGGTACAGACACCAGTGCCGCAAAAGCCCGGTCTGATCATAGATTAAGTTAGAGTTACTCTAAGTAACAGTGTTACAACTCTATTCCTAGCTTGTGCATAGTTCTAGGATGGAAGGCGGCTTTCCGCTCCCTACTCACCCCGAGTCGTCCTTCTAGGAGCTCCCACCACTCATCGCTCTCATCCCTCCCCAGGAGTCTGTCCTAGATCCGCTTATGGTTTTGTGGAAGTTTTGGCGGGAAAAATCACTATCCTGTAAGCCACGGGAACTAGGAAGTTGAAAATTTAGGTGTCTGCTGCTCAAATACGGCCTCGCAAATTCAGATTCAGCTTTCACGCGCGCCTGGGTCTCAACTGCTTGGAGCAGAAAATTATTTTCACGGAACCAATAGGGCTAGGAGACTACAAATTTCAAAAGAAAGTTTTCTGCCCGTGCAAGAAACTCGCACATTCAAATTTGGTCCCCAAGTATGCCTAGGTCTCGCGTACGATCACATGAAAGTTTTGACGCGAAAGTCATTCTAAAGCCAGAAAATTAGAATTCTGATATTTTGGGAGGCTTTCACCGTCCAAAGTTTTAAATTCAGGTTTTCTTGCGTTTCACGTACCGATACTCGAGATTCTCAGTAGAAAATTTTGCAGCTTCGGAACCAGACAACATATTAACTATTTTTGCACGGACTGAAGTGTAAAACAGTGAAAATCCTTGCAGGCAAACGTTCACTGGTTAGAGTCCCGTATCGTACCGGCTACCCTGGTGCACACCACTGTCTATTTTGATATTTAAAACAACTACTGTTTCACCATCGAATCATATTCGGTATGTCCTCGAGTGGTGCTGCCAAAATCCACGTTTTTTCAGTTTCCTTCATTTCATGGTTATTGTGTCGTTCAATGGTTGGCTTCAGCGAATAAGTATGACATCGCCAACATACATCCTCCTTTTTGATCCATTAGAGCAATAAAAGGAAGTGGAAAGATATTCTTTCAACCCATCTTTTTGTGCGGTTAAATATAAAAGCGCATAATTCGCTGAATTTATGTCTGAATACGTATAGGTGTGTGTATGTATGTATGTGTGTGTATGTGCGTAAGTGCATGTGTGTATGTATATGTGTTGCGTGTGTGTGTATATGTATATGTATGCATGTATGTATGTATATGTGCATATTTGTGTATGTAAATGTTTTTGTATTTGTTTTTGTGTGTGTGTGTTTGTATTAAAGAGCGGCATAAACATGCAGAAATACTTATATGTTTTTTTCGGAATTAAATTCGGTAAATATGTAAACTTGCATTTTGAGTACATATGCAAATTTGATAGGTGAATTATGGGCGGAGATAATGCAGGACGAAGATTCTCATTTTGTTATGCAAAATGAATAGGAAAAAGATTAATAGCATGGATCCTTTCAAAGCATATAAAGCACAAACTCTATTGTATGGACATCATTTTTACTAGTTTCTAGCGAGCTGGTTGGTTAAGTCGATCACTCACTCTCTCCAGATATCATCGACCGCCTGCATCTCCACAAAGATTCAAACTCATGGACAGTGTCCTTCAGCTGGTCAATCAGTACAGGAACGAATTCCAGTACGGCTACGGTTCACTAAGGAAAAATGTCGCTTCAATTTGCCAAGGCCTAGCTAACAAGGTTATTTCGTGATTCGGCAATTCTTTTCAGCAGCAGACGGCTGCTGGCTTTTTGTCTTTCTTGAGCACTCAAACTGCCTCTATTCAGCTTGCGAAATAGGCAGCCATCGATAGCTTCGACAGCTTTTGAGAAGTTCCATAACCGAACTTCTAAATGCCATCTTTGCCCTTAAAAAGCATAATTACACAAATTTCGACTTATCAAAAAACAGTGTGTTCAACCATATTTTTGGAAGCTTTGTATGTAAGTTAGCGGACGTTCAGTTTAATTATTTTCATGACGGGTTACGTGGAATGAAGAATAAAGATGGAAAAACATCAAGGAGAGGAGTAGGAAAGGGGAAAAGTAGGAAGGAGGGAACGAAGGAATGAGCGAGCAGGAAGATTCATGAAAACACCGTATCGCCGCAGTTCTAACTATTCTAGTTAAAATTCGTATATTATGGTCTGAGTTGTATGGAAAGGATTACTTACATAAAAGGTGCTCTGTGTTAATCGAAATGAACGAGGAGAAAATAAAGACAGGAGAGCCAGAGAAGTTCAGAGGATAAAAGTGTTCCAAGAAAAAATTTAGCATATCATGAACAGTAAGACGGAAACCTGAAGCGAAAATATTCGAAATGGTAGAGCGTTGTAATATATTTGTAAGCACACCCATGTAAAATAATTTCCGTCTCACCCCTTAGCTGTAAACACGGACTGGGCACTTCAAAGCCGTCTTTCACGACTTCGCAAGTGAATATTTTGAATTTGTTTACGTGATAGAAATAAGTTTCCACAAAAGACTGTTGTTTCTGGGGTCTAATAATGTAAAAAATTGCAGAATCGACCGCACCAGAATTTGAGCCGGTTGCAGCAGGAGCTGCTTAAGCAACGTGATGAGATGTTAGCGACAATAAAGGACACACAGTCGGTGCTTCCGGAGCTGGACACAACGAAACTGATGGGCGCATTTTCCTGGATGGGCATCATGCTGCTTGGATTAAGTATCGGGGCGATCGTTGGCGGGATTTTGCTGCAGCCAGTGCTTGAACTGTTTATCAGCGGGGTTGATGCTGCGCTGATCGCATATCTGATCCTGCCAGCCGCTGCATTCTACTGCTTGCAACTGCCCATCGATGCCAACGAACAGAACGATCTGCTTCGAAGACATGCGCTCTTCTTGTTCGCTGTTTTTGAGGTTCGATTCTGAAACTTATTAACTGAAAAGCTGCAGCTAACGCATGGCTGGAACGCATAGGGAGGTATTTCGCATAGGTGGAACATCGAAGGATTAGAGAAACATACGTCAAAAATGTAGCCCGAATGATAGCACACTGTCAGCAGCAACAACAAACCGCTAGCAAGGCCCCTCAAAACATTTATAATTTTCGTACTGACTGTCCACTTTTTTTTTTTACTTTTTGAAAGACCGCTGGATTGTGGCCTGAGTGATAGCCAAAAGCGACTCAATGTGATGACCTACTTCTCGAAAAATTTGTGAAAAGGAAGTAAAAATAGTTTGGGATTCAAGCATGCTTATGCATATAATTAACAATTAGCCTTCAAAACAAATCAGCAAGTCCTGCAAGAAAAGAACATTAGTTAGGAAACAAAAAAGTCTGAATCCATGAACATTTTTGATACGAAATTGAATATTAAGAACAGAACTATGGCAGCCTAAATATCATATGTATCAAATGGAGAGGCATCTGTGTTTGATTCCTTAGCTGTAAGCAGTTGCGAGCAGGGGCGGGAATTCTCGGTACAGTACCAGCCATGCTTATGATGTCACAGCAGACGACGCATGTCCTAACCTAAAATATTTCGTAGGAATATAAAATCCATGATCTGTAGTACACACTGTTTTCTTCAGGGATTGTTGACCGGATACATCTTCGCAAATAGGGGCCTGATTGGTGTGCCACCACTCGCAGCTTTGACGCCAATGGCAATCGGGCTGTTCCCGCACATTGGACAGTCGACGATCGGGAAAGACCGAATGAAGCTCATCTGTATGGCAATTGGTGGTGGTATGATGCTTCACCTATGCATGGGTACCATTGTGGACCTGTCGTTGCCCTATTTTTTGCTGGCCGGTCTTTATGCGCTCATTGGCTTCGCTGTGTTGCAGCTCTATGTGAACAGTGCTGGAAAAGATCTCGTTCGTTTTTTTCCCTTTTTATATATACAAAAAAAATATATATATGCAAAAATATATACATATATATCTCACGCATTAAAAGATGAATGAGCGGCGTGCAGTGAGTAGTATGTGCGTGAAAGTAGGCAGTCACTCATGCGATCCTTCAGGTTTTTTCCGCTAGAAGCATGTAAACCAAGATCGGAAGCCTTAGCACAGCCGTGCTCTGCATGTGGGATCACCCCACCAAAGTCAGTTACACAAGATACCCATACTGATAGTAACACAAGATACCCATACTTTTAAAACGCTTTATATATTTTTTACCAAGTCTACCAGTACTGCTTCAGTACCAATACGAAGAACGAATTCTGCCAAGTTCTGTTGTCTCAATACTTCTCAAGCATTTAATACAACTGTAATTTACAGTCCGATTATCCTTATAAGGCTGATAACTTTTCCAATTGCTTTGACCAATGCTGCGTTGCCTAATGGTCAACCTTCTGGCGATCCTGATATTCATTATTTTTTGAAGGAATTGCTGGCTTTTTTAAATAATGGATGTAATTCTGGACAAAATCTCTGTAATACTGTGGATTCGAATGAGAACTGGTTTCCAAGGCTCTAAATAGCGATTTCTTCCACGTTCCCTCCCTCGGTCGCTTAGAATACCCAGGAATTTACTTTGAAGAGTCAGTATGGGCTAATGCCTGAATAATCGTGTACAGAATAAGGCAAGAAGTATCCTCGGATTTTTTCCTCCACTCCTAAAGCTTTTCAAAATTACACCCTCCACTCGGAGGAAAATTGTCTTATTTTTGTTTCGAATCATATGTATTCTCATCGGGATTATAGTACAGAAACCCATGTATTACCAGGTCGCCAAGATGAAAATTTCTAGGAATTTCAGGCGCTAACACATATGTATCAGTTATCATTCGTTTGTGCGGTGATATTTTCACAAGCACTTGTCTACGCCGTCTTCGGCCTCGATGAAAAGGAACTGGCAGAAGCATCGCGCTCCTCATCATTCTTCCTCTGAAAGCAACGCAAACCTCCGGGAAGCAGAAGACCCAGAAAACAAAGAAGCTGACTGTTACTGATCTCATAAAAATAACTGACTTGAAAATAACGATTACTGGGAAAATGTTGCTATGAAAATTCCTGGTGATTTTTCTGTGACACATACATACATACATACATACATACATACATACATACATACATACATACATACATACATAC